TTTCTGTGTTCTTTATTGTGTTCCAATGATCTGCTTATATTTATGCCAAATGGTGTTATCCTACTTAAAAGTGTCACATTTAATTGTACTCAAATTCCATTTAATTTTAAGTTTTATTTAATTGTATTAAATTTCATTTTAGTAGAAAAAAACTGAATTCCAACAGAAGAAATTGTTAAACTTTAAATAAATGTTTCTTCACTACAAGAGATATCATTTCCTAATGGGTACCTCTAAAGTTATTAAAAAATTATGAAAACCACTAAAAGAATAAAGTAATTATGTACTTTAAAATTATGTTTTAATTTTAGATGGTATCAATTAATATGAGAGACAAACACATTAAAACATTAACATTTTTATTCTTTCTATTTTCCTCCCTCATGTCTAATTTTTTTCTTAGGATGATTATTGCTTTTACATTATCAGGTTTTAAAATTCATCTGTAACTATAATTCCCAAAGATGCTTAAAATGCATGGATTTTTCTCACCACTGAATTGTTTTCCACAGAGTCTCTGTTCTTAGATTCCTTGTTTGATTAATTAAGCCCTTAAATATCTTCATATCACTTTTCAAGTAGTTTGGTTAGGATGGGCACTATATTCCCTGAGGTCCTCCATGTTGAAGATGCATGCTGGTTTCCTTTATACCTGCACACCATCTTACCTGTACATCATAATATTTTTCCACCAACTTTTTCTTCTCTCAGGACTATGTAAATGATGATTGACAGCACATTGCCAGTCAATGGTACTGAGGAGAAGTCTAAAGGCAGTCAGTCTGATTCTCTAGCTTGTTGCTAATTTTCATTTAATATCTAGATGACTGAATCATTATTTCTTTATCCTAACATTCAAATTAATTGAAACTCCTAAGCAATAGACATTCTACATCAAATTACCCTAGAGCACTGATTATTGTTTCAATGTATAGATTCGATTTTTCCTCAATAAAGTAGAATCTTTTTTACATCATGAACATATCTTCTGCTCCATTTGTTGGGTTCTCTATTTCAAGGACACTTATTATCCTTATGTTGTATCATCTTTGTCTTTTGTAATTATGGAACTATTAGCTTTTCTATATATAATTCATCTCTTCATCTTTTTCATTAGCACTTTCTTTGATTATCTCAAAATTTTCTTCTATGTCATTTACTTTTACCAGTTATCTATTCTGTTTCATATAGTTTGTAATTTATTATTAGTTCTCTAATGATATAACTTGGTTCTCAATATGTTCCCTTTCCTAAGAAATAGTGATAAAATTCTCTATGTTCCTTAATTTGTTTGCTTCTATGTATGATTTTTTTCATGATCTCTTTATTCCTTTCTCTCTTTCTCTCTCATTCTCTCTTTCTTTCCTTCTCTCCCACTCCCCTATGGTGCTATCTTTATTTTATTCATGTTCATACTTGTGTAGCTCTTTTCCACATATTCTATTTGCTCTAATAAATGAACTCCTGACTCTTTTTTCAATATGAAATTAGTTTGATTCCTCCTCTGGAATGTGATTTGAGGCTGATGTTCTTCATTCCATTTACTCTTTAGTACACTGGGAGAGATTAGTGTGAGGAAGGGAGTTAAACTGAGGAGATGGGCAATCTTTGTCAGAATACTTAGACTCTGCTCTTTCTCTTAAGATATTGTTAAACTTCTCATTCCAGAATCCACTCTCCCTGAGTGTGTATCTCACTTTCATAGGGGGACACTCTGGGGCTTTATATCATTTTTCCATCTAGTCTCAGAATCTCTACCTTTATTAAGGTGCAGATACTTTTACACTGGTTTCTCCACAGCAGTTGTTTCCATCATTCTGATCAGAATTAGAAAAAGATTAGCATTTTGATTCAGTTTGCTTCTTTCTAGATTTTGATATATAAATGAGAAATCTCAGCACTGTGTTGACAATAATGCTTCTGAAGAACCATGGATGATTCTGGCATCCATGCTGCCTCTCTGCTCCATGCCATAATCCTCATGTTTTCCTGGTACAAAGTTTATGGCATTATGTTATGCAAATGAAGTTACTGATAGTGACTGGTGGGGGAATGGGATTTCCTTTTTCCAATTCTATGGGTATTATAGGCAGGCAATTTAGTGCAACCTTGATCAAGTTGAATATTGCCCCTGCCCATAGTCCTAGGTTCTTATTGTCTGAATGACCACCAGTGACCCAAAACTAAGAATGAAATCATTCTGCCACTAGTAAAACCTTGAGTTTGTGGTAAGTTAAAATAGCCAAATGGGGCATAAGAAAGGACCAGTGTGCCCTTGAAGTGCCCCCCAAACATATTTAGTTGCCTAGGGAGGATTTACTTTAACCCTTTATGTCTGTTACTGAAGACTTATCTCCTTCTATGTCTGAGCTCCCTAGAAATCAATGCTATAATTAGAAAACAGTAGCTAATCTGGCAAAATGCTAATAAATGAGAGTTGTGATTTATCTAGCAACAGGGGAACAGCTCAGCATTAACAATTAAAAAGTCTGTAGAGGACAGAGCTGTTCTTTTTTTCCTTAGTCTTCCCCTTAGTTGATTGAGTTTAGCCTTATACTATAAATAGCCCTTCTAATTAATGGCTATCTGTTTGAAAATTGGTTATCAGAGCCACAGTGTAGGAACCTTTACGTCTGAGATTCTTAAAGTCTATTCTATTTCTCAATGATAAAGGAATGATAATGTGAGTTCAAAGCTGAATCTACTTATCTACAAAGACTGAACCACATCATAGCCTACCAAG